GGGATGGTTCTGTGAGGTGTCACTGTGGGGTCTGGCACTTGGTTTGGTCCTGGGGAAGGGGTGTTGTTGTGTGTCAGGGTTGGAAGTTCTAGTGGTGAATGTTCCGTATAGACACGTGGCCAGCACTAGGAGTGTGGGGAAGGAGCAGGAGGTATATAGGCCAACAAGCAGTACTGAGAGTTGTGCTGAGGCAAAGCAGCATGTAGACGGGCGGACGGGCAGGTGGACAGAGCTGCTGAAAGTAAATTATTCTTTGTGATTGTTGGACCAAGGTCAGCGCTGAGACCTTCCCTGGCCCTGAGTGCATTTGGGGGGGTCTCAGAGTCTCTGCTCTGGCAACCCACAGAACTGCAGCTTGGGGGTCAAATTTTTTCTCACTCTTATGTACAGTCTTGGTTGTAATGTAAAATTAGGCCTTTCACCCGTGGGAAGAAACACTGATCTCTAAGGGTATGTCTACACTACCCCGCTAGTTCGAACTAGCGGGGTAATGTAGGCATACCGTACTTGCAAATGAAGCCCGGGATTTGAATTTCCCGGGCTTCATTTGCATAAGCGGGGAGCCGCCATTTTTAAAACCCCACTGGTTCGAACCCCGTGCCGCACAGCTACACGGGGCTCGAACTAGGTAGTTCGAACTAGGCTTCCTATTCCGAACTACCGGTACACCTCGTGGAAATTCAAATCCCGGGCTTCATTTGCAAGTGCAGTATGCCTACATTGCCCTCCTAGTTCGAACTAGGAGGGTAGTGTAGACATACCCTAATGGTGCATCTACACTGCACCGTTATTTCGAGATAACGAGCGTTATTTTGGAATAACAATGTGAGCGTCTATACCGCCATTTCTAAATAATTTTGAAATCATGGAGGGCTTTTTCCAAAATCGGTAAACTTCATTCTACGAGGAATAATACCTACTCCAAAATAGCTATTCAAAATAAGGCGCGTGTAGACGCTCTACTGTTGCTATTTTGAAATAGCCCCTTACCAGGGCCATTCTGTTATTCCTCCCCACTGCCTCCTGGGGCTCTAAATCTACATCTACATTAGCAAAGCCTGCCTCAGACTAATTTTGAGGCTTTCCTGCAGTGTAGACATGCTATTTCAAAATAAGTTATTTTGGAATAACTATTCCGGAATAACTTATTTGAAAATAGCAACTGTTGCTATTTTGAAATAGCCCCTTACCAGGGCCATTCTGTTATTCCTCCCCACTGCCTCCTGGGGCTCTAAATCTACATCTACATTAGCAAAGCCTGCCTCAGACTAATTTTGAGGCTTTCCTGCAGTGTAGACATGCTATTTCAAAATAAGTTATTTTGGAATAACTATTCCGGAATAACTTATTTGAAAATAGCA